AAATGCTTTAGGGACTCTTTGGACATTAGGCCCTTAAAATGGCTTTAAAATTCATACCCTTTTGGAGCTAATCTTCAAGCACAGTTGTGCATTATACTTTCATTTTTATTGAGAAAATGTCTTCGTGTGTGTATCTAATTAAAAGGCAGGATTTATTCCATTGTATTTTTTCCTTTTAATTAGCCTAAGTCTTGGATACCGTATGCCAGTCTGTAAAGTATCATTTGTGTGTCATTTGAAAATTTCAAAAGTAAAATTTTAAAAATGTTTTGCTGTTGCCAGAAAGGATTTGATGTGTTCAATGCACTAGACTTAATGGAAAACAAGACATTCCTGGAAAAACTCAAGTTTGGGATTGGAGATGGAAATTTGCAGTATTACTTGTACAACTGGAGATGTCCAGGCATGGAGTCTGAAAAGGTAAGGGAGAAAAATGAGTTCCTGAATTCTGTTATATGTAATGGTACATTAATTTACACTGGCCAACAATGGGCAGAAGTTTTAAAAATAATGTAATTGGCCCTGTTTATGATCCATAATTGAGATGCAGAAGACTGTTGATGTTTAGGTTTTCTGCCATACTTGAACTAAAATACTATATTTTTCTTCTTCCTTTAGGTTGGTCTTGTATTACAATGAGAACGCTTATGTTTCTAGAACTCTTGAGGTCATCGTTTGAGTTAATTTGATCTCCATAACTCTTGAAATGGTATTGTTCAAGAGGAGTAAAAGCACAACGTCAGTGATACTGAAATAGTCCATTAAAGCTGATCAACGAAGACATCCACATGTGACCAAATTTATGCATTTCCAGATAGATCAGACGGTTCATGAAACTCTTCTATTGTCCATGAAAAGAATAAAAAGCACATTCATTTAAGTTTCAAAGCTTAGCTTGCACCTGGATAAGAAGAAGGTATTTTTTCCATTCTGTAGAAAAGACTGTTTTGTATAAACTGAACTTCAGTGGTGGATTAGGGTACAAAAATATTTGCTATTATGTGGATGAACTGCTGCATTTCTATTTATTAAGTGGTGATGTATGTATGTCAGTGTAACAGAATGAAGGATACAAACTGGAGTATCTTTGCTTATTTACTGAACATGGATATCATTTGGGGGAAAATCATGAAGTATGATTCCTTTTGTAGCTATATGAAAGTCCTGGATGTTTTTGTAACTGGAGCAGTATGACAGTGTACTGGTTTAACTAGTGCATTTGTTTCTCCATAAGCAACGCTGCCAAATCAATAAAAAATACAGATTTGTACTTTGATCTTCAATAGATCAGTGGATTGATTTAACAGTATCGCACTGTTCAGTGCAGGTGTTATCTATGTTGCCAGAATGATAATACATTACTGTACTTAATTTACAGTTGTGGCACAATACCTTAGTTTTTCCTCAGTAGAATAACATCAGCCTGTGTGTAAAACTAAGAATTTTAGTAGTGCTATCAGGATATTTATAGTTTGAATGTCTTCAACGCTTCTGCGAAATTGCACATATTCCTTTGTCTACTCTGATTTCCTATGAAGTCTGTAATTCTAATGAAAAGTACCTTGTGTAAATATGTATTCATAAATTGTTCCTGGTAGTGTTTTTATCCTGACTTTGGAACAAGAAGTTTTGCTATATATGTGGCTGGTAAGCAGAAGAGAAATGCTCTGCCCTCAGTCCTTGGAAGTCTCTGTACTGCACTTCCTGAAATTTAGAAGGGCTGATCTTTGTTGTTGGGTGGAGCTGTTTTAATTCCCTCATGAATGCTCGGCAATGGGAGTGGCTTCTGAAGCACTTTATATGCATTCCAGCATAGTGTCATAGCTAGAGATGATAGCAGTTCTTTCAGCTCATGGATGCTGCAGAAGCGTGAGCACTGAGAAAATCTGTGTTAAGAAACTGTTCTAGCTGAAAGTGCCAAATTGTGGTAGTGAAGCCTCTGTGCTGTGAGCATCTTTTGAATGTGACTTGAATATCTCATGAAATGCAAATGTCTAACTTTCCTTTTAAACATGCCTGTAATTCTGACAGCAGATTTTGCTGAAAGTTTAATTCTGTACATGAAGATAAATTTGTCTGTTCTTCATAACTGTTAGCCCTACCCACTACCTTGTAGCAGTGGGGTTTTTCTTTCTTCCCGCTCCTTTTCCACTGTGTGAATGGTTTGTGGTTTGGTTTCTTTTTCTTGTTGAATTGTGGTGAGAGGATTCTGCCCTAGAAACAGTGATAAATACTTTCCCTTACTGCATTATAGCTGATTAAAGCATTCAACCTCCTTCAAACAAAGGAAGGGACTGAACGTGGTTTGTTTGACCCCTGGTTGTGCACCAGCTCAGGACCTCATGAATCTAAAAGGACTTCACAGGAAATCTCATGGTGCAGTTGGGCTTTACATCTCTGGCCACTCTTGATACCTCCCTTCTAGTAGCAGTCAAAATAGGTGGTGCAGAGACAGTTTGGACTCTGTGTGAGGCCTGAGCAGAAATAAGTGCCTGAAAATGTAATTGATGGTAGTGATACCTGAAGTAACAAGAAAGATTTAATCTTGACCCCATCAAAGACTTAAGTTTTTAACTCCTAGAAGAAAAGATGGTGCCTCCTTGGCAGGAATTTTCATGGAGTGCTCTGGGATGAGTTTCACCAAGGAGCTCATTGTGATCTGCTTCAGCTCTTAAAGGCAGAGCCTCAGCAGTCCTCACTCAGGGCTGCCTGAGGTGAGGTGGGACAGCAGGGCATAGCTCTCCTCGTGGCTAAGATACTTCCTTGCTGAGACAGCCCAGGTGATCACAGCCCAGGGGAAGGATATGTTCATGTTCTCTGCCTTCCTTCCCCTCAAAAAATTGTGAGTGGAAGAAAGGTTAGGCAGGTGGATTTCTTTTCTCCTCTGAAATCAGAAGGCAGATCCTCCCAAGTATTGTCCTTTGTAAAACTGAGGCCATGACAGGACCAAGTATGTCCAGGTAGAAGACAGACTTGAATGTGGGTTTCGTGGAGCCTGGCTCTTGTCTAAATCTTCAGGTTAGGGCACGTGAAGGAAGGAGCGTGGCCAGTCTTGCCTTCTTCTAATAAAGTAGTGCCATTTGCTTCTGAATTCAGGGGATAAACTTCTGTCTTGTCTGGCTCCATCGGCATGTTTACTAGGGGCCTGGAGGGCAGAGGCATGCTCCTGTAGAAGCTGTGCAGCACTGTAGCTGAGAGAAAATTTATCAGCCAGAGCATGAGGGAAGCAGGCATCTAAGCCTGAGTGTTGGGGCAGCTCTTGAAGAGTTCTGTTCATGGACGTGTGTGTTAAGCACGGCCTCTTCTGCCTCTGCTGTGTGCTCTTCACTTGTAGTGTTTTGCTGAAGTATCACAGCATCAAGAGAACTTGAATCTTGAAGGTGTCCCGGCTTGCACCCCCATAATAAGACTCCAGAGGTGAAAATTGTGGCAACTCCCTCTGACTTCCTAAGCAGGTACTAAACAAAAGGTGAATATCTGTGTGATCTGTGTGGGGCCACTGTCAGGAGCTCAGTAGGAGAGCCTTCTCTTGTTTCCAAGGTTGAACCTTGTGTGCATTAGTCCTGCTATTAAGGTAAGACTCCTGAGAACCTAATAGGTGTTTGCAAAGGATTGCAAATGTAAAGCTTGCTCTATCACCTTTCCCACCTGGCTTTTTAGACTTCTGTTATTTCTTTCCCAAAGTAACTTCCTATCTGCAGTGGGAACCCAAATCCCTGAAGACAGAGATAGACGTGGGCAGGCAGTGAAGTGCTTGAAAGATGATTGCTGTGCTTGTGTTTTTTACCAAAGCTAATCCTTATGCTCTGTCTAAAAGCTACGACTCTTATGCTATGGTTAGCCAGCCTGGGAATGAAACACACTAGTTGCTAGCATGCCTTCCAAGTTTTATGCACTCAGAAATCCAGAAAAAATGCCATGTATAAAGGACTATGAAGCAAGGCAAAGAAATTTCACCTCTTCTTGCACTCTCAGACATGGACAAAAATTGTAGCATTAAATGCTGTATTTAAACTTGAAGGAGCATCATGACTACACAATCACTGCTCATTGCTACTGCCTGCCTTCATAGTTGCTATCATGAACTAAAGTAATCTCTATTAAATAAATTCAAAATACAGATGAGCTACTGGATGGCAGTAGAAGTCTGGATTAATAAATCTCTGAACAATACATGTAAACTATATCTTTCAAGGAACAACAAAAATTACTCAGTTAAGGTATTTATGCTTTCTTCTACAAGTAAATTCCTAGGCTGTTGATTGCCTGAATTGCAGTGCTATTTCCTTTCCTTCCTACAACCCAACTCCCTCATTAGGAAATTGTTCATAGTCCCCAATAAAATTAAAGGAAACTCAGAAATTACATTTTCAGTCTTGTAGCAGTAACAGTTCTCATCTACTTTATATAAAAGAGTACATGGCTTATGTCAATTTCCTGGGAAATAATTTTAGATTTCATTTAGACATCTAATGGGAGTTTAGGTTTACATTTTCTCACAGGATATGTGTTAATAGTTTGCAAATGGAAGTTGTTTGTTTTTTTTTAATACCGCAGCAGTACTAATTTGGTTTTGTATTTGGAAACAGCTTTTCCTTCAGCATATCTTGCACCAGGTATCAGGTGGAACCCAAGTCTGCATACATTTGAGACCAAAACCAAGTTGTTCAGCAGAGCAAACTATAATAAGAGTTCAGAAGGGAAGTCTGCCTGTGCTATTTACTTGAACCCAGCTTTAAGAGACTTATACTGGCATGGACCTTTGTTTAAATAAACTTTCACTTTTGGTATTTATTTGTTTGAGTAATTATACTTATATTTCTTTTGCTTAAAGCATGTTCATCTGTGTAAAAAGACAAAGTTCATTTAATGCTTTGTATTCATTCCAAAGAAGTATAAATTATGTCTTAAAATTACTTTGGCATGTTCATTACCGGCTTTAACTCTGATCTCCAGCTGCAAATGAAAATACTTACCCCCAGTAAAAACTAACACTCAAGTCTGAGGAATATTTTTTATTAAAGCAGAAAGTACCTCAAGTGCAACATCAAGTTCACCTTGTATTCAAGACTTTTACACTGTAAAGCCTAGAAGAACTGTTAGAACTGTACTCCATCCTGCATTTAAAAATCTGTTTAATAGAAAGAACCAAACTCAGTTATGCTGAAAAAGCCTTTTTCTTTTTGCGAGGTGGTTTCTTTATCTTATTGGGATTTGGGACAAGTTTCTTGATTTTCAAAGGCTGCAAAATTACATTTGAAAGATCAGGCCAATTGCTTTCTGTATGCTTCCGCTTCTGACTTGCGAGCTTATCCTCCAGCACCTCTGCAAGCTCTTCGGGTTCCAGATTGTCTGAAGAATCTGTATCTGCATAAGCCATGGGTTCTTCAGTTCTGTACTGAAACCACGGCACTTCCAAAGCCGGTATCTTTGGAATTATTGCTGCTATTGCTTCAGTGAATTTGTCAGAGTGCTTTTTGAAGCCGAGTGCTAAAATGGACGTCAGGCCAAGAAGGGGCGCGACGGTCTCGCTGAGCCGTGGCACCTGCCCTGCCGGCGTGGCGCGGCTCGCGCTCAGCTCGATCAGGTGCGACGTGATCATGGCAGGTTTGGCAGACTTGCACACCAGCAAGAGAAGAAGTTCATTTTTTTCCAATGCTTTTGTAACTTCATTAACTCCAATGGCAAGCTGTCTTCTGATACTTATGTCAGTCCATCCTGGTTTTTGTTGGTGGCTTTCTGCTTCCTCTTTAGGGAAATCATTGGTGCCAGCATCACACTTTCTTTCTGTTTGTTTTTTTGTAAGGGAACGTTTTTTCTTTCTTGGACTCTCAATCTTTTTAAGTCCAATGTGTTTAATCCTTTCTTCTAAGGTCTCTAGTATAAAATGCATATCTTCTCCATCTATGGTTTTCCACTGGAAAACAAAGGGGTTATCTAGACATGTTTTTACAGTGGTTTTCTTTGCTTTCCGAAGTGTTGCTGTCCCTTGCTGAATTACAGACATCCTGAGGTCGTTCTGTGTTTTGTCACCCTGGGAAGAAAGAGCAAAACATTAGTTCAAATACTGTACAGTCTGCTGTGGACATCGTTACCAGAAGCTTCTTCTGGGAATGCAGAAGAGAAACCCTGCATGTCAGTGATACATCTATCAACCTCACACGTCTTCCACAGGGCAGATGTGGAGCTGGGTTTTTTTTTTTTAAGAAATAAAAGAAGCTGGACTGGACAGTATGGCAACAGCAGTGACAAAAGACCCTTCTAAAGCTGAACAAAATCAGCTGGAGGTATTACAGATGTAAAAAAACCACAAGCCCAACCAAACAACAGCCCATCCCCAGAATCACAGGTTGAGGGACCACTCCATTTTCACTGTTGCACAGCTGCATTGCCCTCCGTGACATGGGAGGGGAAAAAAAAGCAAAAACTCAATCACAAGATGAAACAAGTTCCTGAATTTATTTAGGAATTTTATAAATCTGTTTTTTCAGCCTTTAGTCCATGCCTTTGTGTTTTTCTGTATTTGGAAGATATGATAAAACCTTGCACACTCTTTAACAGTTTATGTTTTCAGGGAAGGAAGGCAATCCCCTACATGCCTCCAAAAGTTCAGAAGGGGTCTTTTGTTCACCTGGACGATGCCTTCAAGGGTGAGAAGAACTGAACAGGAGCAGAGAAAGTGTAATTGCTCTTGCTCTGATTGATCTAGTCCAGAGTGAAGACATGAGGTCAAGCCTGATGACAGTCCCTGGTAAATTGCAAAGCCCCCATGCTCCTGCTTGGGAACTATACCATCTTCACTGTTACACAGGCAAGCTCTCAGAAGAAGCACAGCTCAGGTTTCTAATCAGGGGAACCATGACATGACTCCCTCCTAGGTTTCCTAGTTACCCAGGCAGGCATACAGATTGCATTTACGTACAGCTCATGAACACCTAAAAGCTGCCACCCAAAAGATACCATTTAGTCATACCAGTTCTCTGTGTACTGGTAGTGAGCTACCTTGATATAAAAAGACAAATACCATCTTCACCCAAGTGTACTGCCATCAAGCAACATCTATCTGGATAGATTTTCACTCAGTTAAGCTCTAGTCTGGAGGACAGCAGGAGAAAGATGCACATGGTATGACTGAAAAGGTCAGGAGTTGGATTTGATGATCCTTGTGAATTCTGTCCAACTCAGGATGGTCTATGATTCCACCTTGAACAGAGTTGTATCAGTGCAATGTGAACTGTTACCCAAAATGAAAGTTAAAACCACTGAAGGCATTTTCAGAGAACAGTAAAACTGAGAATTCCAAAATACAAAAAAAACACCGGGGCACTCTTCAGTACTGTCAGAATAATCTATGGAATACTCTGGGCCACATCAGCAATGGCCCATCCAATCCAGTTATCTGCTGCAACAGTGGAAACTGGAGAAACCACCTGGGGAGGACAGGGCTGGCATTCCCCTCAGCTCCCAAGCACCCAGAATGGTTCCATCTGGGATGTAAGAATAAAGGTGTGCCGACTTAACCTATTAGTCCTTCATGGAGCTATCATTCGTGCAGTTATCTAATCCCTTATGCTTACCATCACAGTAGCAACAACCAAAAAGTGAACACAACTGAAAAATGGAAATGACCACAAGAATTCTTACGTGTGACTCTGTTAGAATGGCAGCTCGTGATTGTCTTTAAAAAAATGAGTTCTGGGTTATGACTTTTAAAAGCTTTCAATCAGGGATGCTCTGATGACCTTGGACAAGCAAAATCAGCAACAGACGTACAAGAAAAAAAACATGGGACATGTTCACAGTTCAAAGATGACATTTTTCTTTTCAAAATGGACACTCCTGAGGAAAACAAGCGTGCAGGGAAAAGGAAACAGAGCAACGAGTGAACGAACGAACACAGCTCCTCCACCTGGCACCACGGTGGCGATCCCCTCGCTTCCGGCGGAAGGGAGATGGAGAAACGCCGCCCTCGTCCACCTCCGCCAGGAACCTCCCCAGCCGCTTCCGCTGCGGAGCGCCCCGTGGGCTCCTCCAGCTCCCGGCAACGGGGGAACGCGGGCTAAGCACGGCCCCAGCACAGCGCACTGCGGCCGCCCGGGTCCCTGTGGGGTGGGGGCTCCGCCGAGACCGCAGCACCCTCTCCCCGGATCGCAGCATCGCGGGCCGCCGCCCTCACCCGCCAAGCACTACGGGCCCGGGCCCAGGGAGCGGAGCGGCCTCCGGCTGCCCGACGGCGGGGCTCCGGCTGCCCGACCACAGGGCCCTGCCGCAGCTGCCCCGCACCCGCCGGCGCAAAGCCAGCCCTACCTCAGCCGTCCCGCGCTCCAGGAACACGCCTCGGGATGCAACCCAGCCCCGCTCTGCCCCCGGTCTGGCCCGGCCCCGCTCCGCCCCCGGCCGCGGCGGGGCGGTGATCAAGCCTAGCAGGGGCGGTGCGGGCCCTGTTCGGGCGGGTCCCGCTGTGGCGGCTCGGCGGGCGGTGCCCGCGCTGCGCTCAAGGCCGCATGGCGAAGCGGCCGTGGCGTTAATGCAAAGAGCCATGAAGCGCTGGTGCTGGGGGCCCGCCCTTGGCGGGTCTCACCGTAGGCTCACTCCTGGCGTTCGCAGGGCTCGCGCGCTCCCGAAGCTTGGCGCATAGGCGGTGGCAGAGGCCTGTCAGCTAACCCAGTCAGGGCCAGGTCGCCAGGTGCTTCATAGGGACTTCACAGCCACGGGGGAGGCCCTCGCTGCAGTGCAGTATGCGCCGTGCTGTGCACGGACATTGTGTGCTGTGAGCAAGGTGACAGTAAGGAGTGGTTCCATTCAGTGTTTGCAGCAATGTGCCCTCAGCCTGTAACAAATCTTCACAAGTGTGTTCATTTTCCACATTCCCCGTAGTGCACAGCATGGTTAAGCACAGCTTCTTGATCCTGAAAGAGCAGAGCTTCTTTGCTAGGGCACCGGTGCTTCAGAAATTTTTCAATTTTTTTAATCTTCTATTTACTTATATTTACTTGGATTGTTTCCTTGTTAATTCGTGACTTAATTTAACCTGGACTTGTTTCCCCTTAAATTACTTTTTTGGTATGGTTTTATGGAAGCTAGCGGGTTAAAAAAATGCAGAAGTACCTACCATAGATCAAACTGTGTTTAGGGAATGATGTACATAAATGTATAGAGGTATGAATATAAATAATTCATTGATACAAGAGGGAATGATTTTTTTTTCAGTGATTACACTTGTAGGGTAGTTTATCAATTAATTTAATATTCTTTTTATTCTGTGCTTAGTAGAACAAATTAAAAACCAGCATTCACAGTGTATTTTGTGTGTGTAGCCCTTGTGTGAGGTATCCTTGGGACGACCCACATGTTTTTCAGAGCTGCAGCTGAAAGGTGCGAGGTCCCAGGTTGGCTGGACATGAGCATGAGCAGGGACTGCGGCAGAAGGAACAGTTCCAATAACTGGACTGGTTGCAGTTCAATCGCTCAAGAAATTCCTTTGTCAAACAAATGGCTTGAGAGTCTTGCTGTATCACTGCTCTCAGCCTGGTGGCCTAATCCTCAGTGGTATGGCTGGAGCTCAGGCTTTCAGCGGAAACCACGGGGGGCTTAGTGCTCCCCGCCCCCAGCGCCCCTTCCCGGCGCTGTCGCCGCTCAGCGGTCCCGGCGGGTGCGAGTTCCTGTGTGCTGCCGGCCGGCTCCGCTGCCCAGCTGAGCTCCCGGGGACCATCCCAGCGCCACCGGAGCCACTGGCAGACGCGCCGCGTCCCCGCCGGAGAAGGAGCGAGGCCGTTCCCTGCGCATCCCCGCAGCATCATGACTCTTCAGGTAGGCGCTTCTGCATCTGGGGAGACAGAGGAGAGGGATGCACTGTGTGTCTGTGTAATGCCGCGCTGGAAACTGTAGAATTTCTTCCGCATGAGGATTTTTACTACAAAATCAAGGTTACCTTGTGGCAAGGGAAATCTGCCTAAACCCTTGGAGGTTAAATAGTGCATTGCTTTTCACAAGTGGAGGATGAGAAGCAAGCTGGTTAATTTGAACTGTTTCATGGGTCATGTAATATTTTGGATTTTTTTTTTCATGGGTCATGTAATTTTACCTGTTCAGAGTATGCCTGGATTATGTTTCTTCAGGTGTGCATCTGAGTTTGCTAGGAGTGAGTTAGACATGGAAAGGCAGGTACATATTTATGTTTTTAGGATCTAGCTGGTTGCTTGGAGCTGTTAAAGGAGGAGGGAAATTTCTAACACTGAGACACTGTTATATGTGCATTTGGGAAGCATAAATAATTTTTAAGGAAGTTGTGTGTATTTTTTAGGGTGTATGCATCTTTGGACTGCTACATTTTGATAGGTTTGTGTTTTAGTAGAAGAGCTTCTACTTTCTTACCTTCTGGCTAGAGAGAGATCTTCCTTTTACATACTCTCTGATAGTAGCTTTAAATAGCTGTTGAGGAAATTATCTTTATTGCTGGCTTTTAGCCTCCTACCTTTGTGGGAAGCTATGAATACTTCCCTTGTCTTGGCCATGTCCTGATAGATTAAGCTGATTTTCTTCTTTAGGCTTTCCTATTATCCCTTTCACTTTCAAGATTTGCAAGCTCTTCTATCCCTGTCTCATTATGTCTGTCTCAGCTTAGTTAGTGTGCATTTTGCAAAGAGTGAGCAGCACAATGCTCTGACCTAGATGCAGGGAGTGCACTGCCAGCAGCTTAGCAATTTTCTTCTGAGCTGCAATTATGCTGAATAGCACAGAGGTTTCATTGTGCTGTGTTACAGCTAAGAAGAAATCTCTTTCTTCAGTGGGTCAAAATTGCCAAATCTCAAACATAACACCACCTTTGCATAATTAATAATTGCTGAAATTACAGATTGTTTTATTCTGCATTGAACTCATAAATTATTATAAGAAAGAGCTGAATGCAGTATGATACACTGTTCCATAGCTGTATACAGTTACACTTTCACATAAAAATCAGTGGTTGACATTTTAAGATGCCGTACACATTCTGCATTACACATTATAGAGCTTTTTTGTCCACATTGGTTTGGTTGTCAGTTACCAACCATATCCATAATTTTACTGAATCTGGCTGTATAGGAATGAGGACAAATGAATAAAATAATGTTCTGTTTAGTGAGGCTGAAAATTATAAGTTTTGCAAACTGGTGAAATATTCTGCTGTAAATGAAGAATTCATTCAAGCTTTTTTCTTTGCAAAAAGGCAGTGTCTGATAATAGTCTGATAATTTGTGCTTTTATCTTTAAGACACATGTGTACGTTTATGTCTGTATATATTTTTATGCTTTTTATTTGAGGAGTTAAAGGGAATTTTATCAGCACATGATTAAAAGGAAATTATGTTTTTACAGGCTGCTCATAAGCATGTTGCGTAAGCAGGCAAATCCTAAGCAACAGTCTGTGCAGAATGATTGGCTAGAGGGGGATAAAGAACAAAGTTTTAGTATTTAGATTTCATTTCTGCACCTTTCTTGCTCTGTAAGATATGCCTTTGCAAATCTTTAAACTATATTATGGTAGTTGCCTATAGATGCAAATAGAATAAAATTATCGGAAAATAAGGTTATTAACTTAATGGTTTCCTTATTTTTTTATCTTTTGTCTCGTACAATTGACCAGGGCTTCTGGTTCATTCTTACTGTGAAGTTGTCATGGTTTAACACTACCCGGCAAATAAGTGCCATGCAGTTCACTTGCTCACCCGCTTCGCCTACAGTGGGATGGGGAGGAGAATCGGCACTGGGGAGAAGGGAGAGGAAGCAAAAACTCATGGGCTGAGATAAGAATAGCTTAATAATTTCTTAAAGAAGTAAAATACAGCACTGTGAGAGTAGTAATGAGAGAGAGAGAGAGAAGGAAAGAGAGTGCATGTTCAGTTAAACCCAGGAGAAGCAAGTGATGCGCAGATTGATCACGACCAAGGGTAGTGCCCATCCCTGAACAGCAGTCAGTCCATTTTGGCCAGCTTCTCCCAGTTTCTACACTGGGCATGGATGTTCTGTGTTGTGGAATGTCCCTTTGGCCAGTTTGGTCAGCTGTCCCAGAGGTGTTCCCCCCCACTTCCCCAGATTCTTGTGTAGCTCCTCACATTCAGAGTGTGAGACACTGAAAAGTCCTTGGCTCAGTGCAAGCACTACTCAGCAACAAGCAAAACATCAGTTTTAAATAAATAAATAGCAATAAATAACAAATCAACATTATTCTCTTCCTGCATCCAAAACACTGTCCTGTACCAGGTACTAGGGAGAAAATCAATTATTACTTCAGACAAAACCGGGACAGAAGTTTAGATCAGAAAACAATTCCAGACTTGTGAAAGATTTTCACAGATTTGAATGGTCCTTGTACATCAGTGCTGGCAGAAGCTCACATGCAGTAGTAACTTATTTAAACAATATGGCAACCTAGTTGTGGTTTATTATTGATACAAATTTTAAATCTTACAGTTAACAGAGTCCTGCTTTTGTTTGCACATGTGTGGATAATACTAAGAGATGTCTGGGATGGAGGAGGCAGTCATAGTTATAGTTAAGAATGTCACATTTCTGATATTTGGATTAATAATGAAATATTTATTTTAATAAAATTGTACCTATTGAAAAAACCCTTGAGCAGTAGGTCATCACATTTATTTTCATAAGTGAATTCCCATCCCTTTTATACATCTGTACCAATAGTGTGACTTTAAATGCTTTGCTTTGAAGAGCATCAAATATGTACAGTTCCAGTTTCTTTGAACTACTATTTTTAATTGCTTGGTAAGGTAGTTTGCTGATTTTGTTTCCCCTCATTAAATGCTTCTCCATTATAAATGCTGTACATCTCCTAAAAACACTGTTAGTGCGTAAGAGATTTTGTGTAATTAGACTTGCCTTGCTACCTTAGTACAAAACTCCCTAATATCCTAATGCTGCAGTGCCTGGAACACTGCAGCGTGGCACGGCTGGAGTGACTCAGGGGAAGGCTGGGCTGTAAATTCAGAGCATGTGAGTTCCTCTGCAATCCCCATGTCCTTGCCTCTTCCCCGAGGTGAGCACAAGTGGAACGGGCCTGTTTTCATGGAAGGATAAGGCACCAGACTGTCAAAAAAAGCCCTATGAGCAGTCTCACAGGGACTGTGAGCTCAGACTCCTGCTTGTGGCAGTGTGTCTGTCCTCTAGCTTCAGCTCCTAGGCTGAAGGCACTCATGCTGTGCCTAAGACACAGGGCAAGGTGCTTCTGCCCCAAACCCCAAATTCTCTGCCTGTGCTGGTCTGACTTCCTGGCCCCAAACACGTGGGTTCACCATTTTGGGTTTGCTGCTGAAAGGAGCAATAGTGTTATTTACTTACTTATTATGGGTCTCAGCAATTTTTGGTGAAAAATTAAAACTGAGCATAACATCTGAACTTGTTGAAGCATTTCAGGTGGTTGTAGCAAATCCAGGTACAGTTGCTGTGCAGAAGGAGACCAAGAGACAATACAGCATAAGAAGAAAAAATAGGATTGCAAGATTTTCACAAAAGCAAATATTAATATTACCAAAAAAAAACCCCAAAAAGCTGAGAAGGGATGCTGTAAGGCTATTTAGTTTTGGTTTATCTAAATTACATATAACGTATATACATAGCATATGAACGTATTCTGAACCATTTAGTTTTTTATTCTAGAAAAATCCTGTACTTGTTGTGCAGCACTCTCAAATACTTGATTGGGGAAAAGAAATCTACAGTGTTCTTAAAAGAAATCAGACACAAAAAGTTGGACTTAAAGCTTCAAAGTTTTCTATGGTTTTATGGTATAGTTGTATCTTAGTAACATTGAAAATTATTTTTATTAAAACAGGAACAAACTACATAAGTAATTACATGTTTTAGAATATAAAGTTTTAGATTTAAAAATATAATTTGGAAGTAATTTAATCTAGAATTTAGTGCACAAACTGCCAAATCATATACTTTATTGAATGACCAAGTGTCAGATCTTTAAGAAGACAAATGGCACTTGGAATCTGTCTAATCTGTCTAATCTGTCTCAGAAGAATTGTTATATTCAAAATAAACAGGAGCACTTCTCAAACTAAAGCTGTCATTATTAATTTCAGCACACCAATTCTTCTCTGTACTCCTCCATCCACTACTGGGCATTTGGTTCAGGGAGGCCTTGGGAATCTCCCAGATACTTCTGCTTGTCATTTATGCAAGCACTGAGGTTCTCACTGAGTTGGAAGATTATTTGTTAAAAAGCATCTGCATTGCTGCAGGATTTTGGTCTTTTCCTTTCATTTCACTTCAAGGGTGCTATGAACTGACAGACCTAGAGATGCATATTGTCATAATGAATCCTTTCCATCTATTGTTTTGTGAATTTACAGGTGCAGTTTAAAGAATATTCAAGATTTAATTGCTGTTTTGCAGGGAGTTAGAATGCCTTTTTAATCACACATCATGATTTTTTTTAAAACATTCCTTTTAAATGCACATTTCTGCCTGCTGTTCCTTGTTGCAACACTTCTATTACAGATGCACATCCTCCTGTGGCAAGCACTTCTGTTCTTAGAAGGC